ATTTTCACGAAACGTTCCCACAGCAACCTAACTGGATGTCTGGATATATTATATTTATTGCATTTTTATGATTGATAATAAAAATACGTAAATATTTAATGTTTTTAATTTTTATTTTTAAATCATAAAATACAATAAATACAATATATTTAGTTGAAACTTGAATTGCTGTGGTGGCGAACAACGTTTCGTGAAAATATTCGCCCCCCTGTCAAGGAATTTTCGCGAAGATTGCGCGTGACTTTCAAATGATTTGTTTTTATTCCTATCCTGAATTTGTTGTGGGAGGTTTTTTCCTTCAAAGTGCAAGTAATTTTTTCAATTTTTCTTTTAGGACTATTCTACAATGAAGTACTCTTGGATACTGTAATCTAAATACATATGCAGACGAAGAAGTGACATTTATCGGGCAGAGAATCGGCGAGCCATTAAAATGGCGGCATATGGACGAAATATCGAAGGACACAATATCGAAGATAAAATACACTGCACTGCTCCAAAACTTGCCGAAACTTGGTTGAAATCTCCTTTAGCCATTTGCCATTATGTAAAAGTACAACAAGTGGATGTTATTTGCGAGACACGGCGATATAAAGCAAACAAGACGGCAAAATATGGCTGAAATCGTGTTTTCGTGGGGGGTAAGTGAAATAAAATATATTATATTTATAGAAAACAGTGACTATCCTTATGAAAACTACAATAATTATATTAAATTAAGCATAGTTTTTCATCCCATGGTAATTTTTTTTAGGAAATAAGGATATTTAATTTCTGCCATGTATATTAGTTATTTTCTGCATAATCAGCAATTTACCTGGGGTGATAAATGGTCATTTTCTTGTAAAATATTATACTTCCACAAATTTTTCCTTCCAATAACCACCCCTAAGAGCAACCCTTCTAAACACTATAAGCACTTCAGAAAGGCTGTCGCTTTTGCTTTTCGGAAGTTAGAGCTATGTCGGCACTGCCGTTTCAGGGCGGGGTCATTTTCAGGACTTTCGTCCAGGATTCAGGTTTTGGCACATATGCCATGTTGACCGCCATGGTCATTTTACCCTAAAACAGTTGAGATTACCTGTGGTAAATGAAACGCATACAAACTCATATACAGGTCCTAAACTAAACGAATTAAGTCGAATTTATGAGCTTCGTGATCAGAAAGAAGTTCGGAACATTTGACAAAAGTTATGTAGAATCGACTGTAAGTCATAAGAACATTTTCAAAGTTCACTGGGTTCCACAGAGAGCGCTCAAAAAAGATTTCGCTATAGAAAGGTAGATATTATTACACAAGTCATTAGCGTACTGCAGCCGTTTGACTTCAAATAATATTACGATTAACGCTTAAAATGCTGAAGAACGACACGAACTTCAGTTAATGTACAGTATTTCACATTGCTTTGCTATCTATTTAGCTAACAAGAATATATTCAAGGCAATTCATTCATTTTGCCGCTTTGCGTAAACAGCCGTTTTGGGGCTAAACAGCCGTTTTGGGGCAATTTGACCCTTCCATTATTCGCTCAAACTCTTGAAATTTTGTATGGCCCAAAAATGTTATTTCACTTATCGAAAGATCAGTCCTTGCTGAAAACGTTGGTATAATGTTCATGTTCTAATTCGAGGTATCAGTGGCGATATATGGATTTTAATCGGACATAGTCTAAAGTTGCGTAAAACAAGCGACAAGTTGAATATAATATTAATATTCAAATCTACATCAAATTCGACTTTGAGAGCTGCTACTTGTACATTAGTGTTTGCATTTTATGGAAAATAAGTTTAAATGTGCAGTATTTTTGATTTACCAGCGTAAACAAGCTCAATCTGAAGTAGTTTGTATCGCACTGAAAATACGCCCGTCAGCCGTGAGAACACAAATATCGACTTCTCGTTAAAAATATTTTTCGAATCAAAGTTAAACACATATTTATATTATCAGGTCCAACTAACTTACATTTTGACAAAGTTTGAGCGATTTTGAAATTTCACGTTCTGCACGACATAGGCGATATTTACAGACAGCCTCTCTTAAGTCCATGAGAACTTGAAAGTAATTTCAAGGTAATTAGTAATTAATTACTTTTGAAAAAAGTAATTAGTAATCGTTAATTAATTACATTTGAAAGACATTAATAAGTAATTAGTAATAATTACTTTTTTGGAGAAGTAATTGTAATTTTACTCGTTACTTTTTTTTGGTAATTTTCACATCACTGCCCGCGGTTAACCGTTCACCGTGGTTAACCGTTCACCGCGGTTAACCACGGCTTTTGTCAACTTATTTCTAGGCAGTACTGTATATGTATATGTATATATACAGTATACTGTAAAACCATGCAGCTATTTCAATTAAGGTTGTCACAGACAATAGCCAGATGTAAAATAATATGAGTGCTAAGTTAGCATCAATGAGAAGCATCATAGAGAGCGCTGTTAGTCAAGCTCTTAAAAAGATTGAAATCTTTGTTGAGGGGTTTCTTTCGTCCCCAATTAGTGATTCGTATAGACTGGTGGAGTATTTAGTCGCTGACAAGGGAAAATTAAAGTGGTTGGGCTCTCTGGAGGACTTAAAATTGTTTATAGAGTCTTCGCTTCGCATCGATGGTAGATGGTCATCACCGGATTGCAACGCCAAAAAATTACGCTCGAATCATTCGAACCTGCTCAGTAGTTTGGCTTCGTTTGGTATTGTAGAAGGCAGAATACGATAGTGTTTCAGGGCAATCATGAGAGCGTTGAATCAGCGAAATCAAAACTTATATCGATTGCAAACAAACATGTAAACAAAGAGGCTACATCGATCGCGGTGAGTGAACAGTTATTTGATGAGGTGGACCTGCAAGTGCGTGGATTGGAGCCGTGTTGTGAAGAATTTCTGAGAGTTGATTATGATGGTCCAGATCGGCGGGAGCAAGACCTGAGCGTAACTTTAGTGGTTAATGAAGAGGGCCAGACTGAATATACGTCGAGTTTAATAAATGGTTTATTGACTCTGTCTGCATGTGCGTGTACATGTAGTCAAGGTGAAATTATTGCAGAAATAGAGGGTATTAAACTAGATTTGGCGATCTTTAAGTCGCAGTCTTGTTTTGGTACAGATGATCAATATGATTCTTTGCAATCTAACATTAAGTCATTGCAATCTACACAGAAATCCCTTAAAAATATTATTAAAACTCAAGACGAGACAATAAATTCACTTCAACAAGAAATATTTGTATTTAAGTCCAAGCTTTTGTCCTTGGAAACGCTATTGTTTAATGATAATCCTCAATTGAATGCTTCACTTGATCTTGATAGCCAGATACAATGCACTGTGAAAGTAAATCCCCAAGGGTCCAATAATGATGTTGGAAAGAGTAATTGCGAAATGCTATTACCCACGCACTCGAATAATAATCAGTCTACCAACGAAAATCAACCATCTGAAAATTGTAAGACGATTTGTAGTTCGCCAAAAAGTTCTCTTAATATCAATGCTAATGTCCCTGCCCCACTTGTGAGTAATGGTGTTGCTATCCCACCTGCGAGTAGTGCAGACTTGATGCCAAAAAGTTCTCTTGATGTAGAAGTTAATATCCCTGTCCCAACTGTGAGCGATGCAAACTCACCACCAACCAGAGTGATGCAAGTTCCCAAAAATGAAACGCCTTGTCCGTTTATTTTGTGGCGTGGTTGGTGCTTAAAAGGTGAACAGTGCGACTTTTCTCATCGAAATATGGTTAATAATGATCAAGCTCGCCAGCATTCCAACGATAAAAAAGGCTCCATATTTTGTCCGTTTCTACGTAAGAAGGGCTATTGTTTGAAAGAATCCAGATGTGATTTTTCCCATGTCGAACCCTATTCGTATCCAACTGGAAATCATCCGGTAACAAATGATAACTTACAATGCCCCCAATTACATCCTTTTTTCGGAAGTCACGACCTACAAAATATTCTGACTTTGATGCGCCAACTCGAAACAAGATTGCAGAGTCTCGAGTATGCTCAAATACCTCACCCCCCTTATCACCGGTATTCAGTGTCTCAACCGCTGTTCCCTCCACCAAAATCAATGTATTCACGACCACTAATGATGACCCCAGTTCATCCCCCTCAGTATTTACGTCGCCCACGCGACAAAATGAACGAGCAGTATCCCCCAAATTACCTTCTGCGCCCACGCGACATAACGAACAAGCAGTATCCCCCAAATTATCTTCCGAGGCCATGGTTACCCCAACCCTGGCCAACACACCCACCATTTCCACGTCGTATGTAGCTCGTGATAACAATTTCCCGCTCCCTACCCTACTGGTGGCCAATGTCCGTTCTATAATTAATAAAATAGACGAACTAGAGTTGGTAGCTCAAATTAACCAAGTTGAGGTCATATGCATTACTGAATCTTGGCTTAACACCTCTGTTGTGGACTCAATGATTTCGTTATCGAACTTCATCCAATTCAGAAATGATCGCACATACTCCTGCGGTGGCGGCGTTTCCATTTATATTAAAGAAGAAATTTACTGTAGGAGGCTCGAGCATTTCGAGGATTCAGCCATTGAATCCCTATGGTTACTACTTAGACCTAAGCGTTTACCAAGATCTATATCCGCTCTTCTACTTGCAGTCATTTATCACACCACCTCCTCCGGCGCCTACGAGAACTTTGAACTGTACAACCATATCCAGCGTAATGTTGAATCCTTCCTTTCTCTGCATCCTGATGGTCTTGTTTTTGTGACTGGGGATTTTAACCCTGTCAGTACATTATTTGATGAAAAACGGTTGAAAAGATTGTCCTGCTTAACTCAAATTATTAAAGTTCCAACACGTCCTAACGCCATCTTGGATTGGTGTCTCACAAATGCCAAGAAAGTCGTTTTTGATGTAAGCCAGCTTCCTTCTATTGGCTCGAGCGACCATAATGCCATTTTAATAAAACCCCATAAAGATCGTCTGGAGAATTCGTGTAATAAACGAGTATACAAAAGAGATTTAAGAAATAGCAGTATAAGACATTTTGGTCAGACTATTACATCTACCGATTGGACGGGGATAATCGATATTCCTGATCCTAACTTGAAGTACCGGAGATTTAATGAGGTAGTTTCTGCAATGATGGATTGTTTTTTCCCAAATAAACCAGCTAGTGTTAGGGAATCTGATAAACCATGGATGACGTCATCGCTTAAGTCCAAGCATATTGATTTTGGCGCAATAAAGTTCAACGGGATGTTAAAGTGGCACGTAGAAAGTACTATGCAAATTCCCACCTGTGAGGACCTTGCTGAGTAAACCCCACCTGTGAGGACCTTGCCGAGTCATATAACGGATATCTTGTTGGACTTACCGAACATTTTAAACCTTTGCTAGAATGCACCGGTGACCAGGAGACAGAAGTTCCCAATCATGTACTCGTAAATATAGGGCAAGTTTATTCAGTGTTGCGACGTCTTAAAACGACGAAGTCTCCTGGCCCAGACGGTATCCCAAATAGGATTCTTAAATCCTTTGCGTTTGAATTTGCTGTTATAATGGGCATTTACAAACATCAGTGCTTCAGGGAGTCTTCCCTGGTCAGCTAAAACGTTCTATCGTCGTTCCCATTCCAAAAGTGTCACCACCTCAACCATTGAGGATGACTTAAGACCTATATCACTCACAGCTCAGGTATCTAAAGTGATGGAAGCAGGGGCGAAACTAGCACCTTTTAATTAGTGGGTTGTCTGCTAGGATTGCCCTGCGAAAGCCGATGATGCCCTGCACCAAAACATTTTTTTGGCCACTATTTCTCCCAAATGTTGGCAAAAATATTTTTTTCCGGACATTCAAAAAAGGGAGTGAAAAACTATTTTCCGGACATAAACCAATTAAATTAAGGGTCAGAATATTTTTTTCGGACAAATTCCTGTTAAAACATGCATGAAACCCTTATTTTTTTACCAATATCTGTAAAATGTAGGTCTATAAATTCTATTCAATTCCCTCTGGAAGCCCTGGAATCTACGTAATAACTCTACATTCTATCATTTAAAATCTTTCATTGCCCTGCCAATCCATATGATTTGCCCTGCCAATCCAGATGATTTGTACTTGGGGGGTGGGGGGGAGGGGGGGGGGTCACACACCCCACATCCCCCTCAAGTTTCGCCCATGGATGGAAGGAGTTATGCTACAGTCCCTCATGTCGGAAATGTGTCATAAATTGGACCCAAAGCAATTTGCTCTTCCGGGAAAGTCAACCACTCAGGCACTCGTTTATCTCCTCCACGTGATTCATGCTGCTTTAGATGAAGGCCACTGCTCTCTGCTTTGCTGATTTCAAAAAAGGTTTTGATCTCGTCGACCATAATGTCATTATTGATGAACTTTTAAAATTACAAGTGAGTCCTGCCATTATAAGATGGATAAAGTCGTTCTTTACCTCCCGCGAACAGTGTGTAAAAATCGGATCATCCACTTCCTCATGGAAACCCGTTAACGGTGGCCTACCTCAAGGAACTAAACTTATAGGGCTCTTCTCTTTGCCATCTTAGTCAATTCCCTCCTACAGGACTGGAATGGGCGGATAAAGTTTGTAGACGATGCTACTGCACTAGAAATTGTTCCTCGTTGTTCTCCTAGCTTGCTACCTATCCTCGTAAATTATGTATCTCAGTGTGCCTCAAGTAGAGGAATGAAGCTTAACAGTAAGAAATGTACGTAAGGAGTTGTGTGATCATGTTGACTATGTGATTAAAAAAGCAAATTCCAGACTCTCTGAATTGCGGATGTTAAAAAAGGCTGGGTTAAGCGATAAATATATATTCCTCCTTCATTCGGTCCCGAATTGAGTACGCTTCACCAGCGTGGTCAACGCTGCCCCAAGGCCAGTCTGACCTTATCGAATCGACACAGAGAAGTGCATTACGTATCTTGCTTCCCGAAATGTCGTATCAAGACGCATTGAATTATACTGGTCTAAAAAAGTTAAGTACACGTAGACATAATTCCTGCGAACAATTTATCCGGAAATTGAAGCTTGACAATGGTCCTATAAATCCTCTAAAGGATGTTGTTGCAACTCGTATACATCCAGCTACTCATAATTATAATCTTAGGTCCGAATCAAGCTGGTCACTCCAAACGAACACAGAACGGTTTCAAAATTTTATAACTGTTAAATATAATTATTAATGTATTATTGATTTAGTAGTACTCGTGTATATTCAGGTACCCAATTATAATTTGTGGACAGATTTAAGCTGACTATTCAGAACGAACATTGAACGGTTTGAACTCAATTTTATCTGTAAATTTAATTTTTAATGTATTTATTTATAATCATGTAATTCAGTCTTTACTGCAATGTGATTAATTAAACAGATTATTATTAGTGATTAATTAAACAGATTATTATTATTATTATTATAATGGGAATAATGATAGTTTTGAATAAGTTTAACACCTCAAATATATTATAAATACTAATTTAATTTGTATTCCCATGGGGCTATTGATGTGCTAAAATAGGATCATTTTTTAGCGTTCAATTGCACATTTGACTATTGTCTGTGACACTAACCTTCATTGGAATAGCTGTATATTATAATAGGACAAGTGTAAATTGTGCATCTAATCCTTTCAAGCTACGGTGGTCTAGGTAGCCTGTGCTAAAGCCATACAAATTATTGTTGTTTATTCAACTGTTACAGTATTCACAGTCATAATTCCTCTTCATCTTCTGATGTGTCCACTGGTACGTGCTTGCCGCTTGGTGTTTGTTTAGCTATAGTCATGAAATGCAGCATTCTCCAATGCTGCTAATGTATCTGATTATATATCTGTGAAACCTTCATGAAAATGATCATTGATGTTTGCAAATCAATTCCAAGAGATCAGATAAAATAATATTTTCATCTTTCTCTGAAGATTTGTGCTTGCTTGTGAGAGGATGCCTTCTTCTTAATTGCCACAGCTATGTCGAAGTTGTTTGTAATTTCTGCAATCCTTCCAGCCGCTCTACTTAACCATTCGATTGACTTTGGTGTTTTTTTGACCCCCATTCTTTTAATTTAATGTTAATTCAGGAAGATTAGAAAGTCCGTCATCACACGCAAGAGTTCCACATATAATTTCTGCAGTACGAAGCAGGTTTTTATTTCGCTAGCTCTAAGAATAGGTTTTTGCAATACTTTTTGTCGATAATACCGCCACAAAGGCGACACTTGCATTCCGGATTTTGGATAAATCATCTTTGGAGTTTCCTTTCGCTGTGCCATAGCTTGAGAGCTACTGAATACTGTACTTTGACTTTGTATAAGTGTGCATTCGACCTTTATTTTTTTGCGTTGATAAATAAACGGCTCCACTTCAAGGTGTAAAACATACCTCCAACCATGCAAATTATATAGCAAATAGGTGTAAAAAGCTTTCAAGCGGTGACATATTTCATAAAAGATAACACAAAAACCGATAAAGCCTAAAATATGGGTTAATACAGAGCGTAAATGACCGTGTTTTCCATAGGCATAGTTATACATGTTTTCGTTCTTGGCAATTCCTGGCTTTTTGTGGCAATTCCTCCTACCACTCCTCCCTATGTGGCAACGAGGCGGCAATTCGAATTACCCCTAATTTTTAGGGGTTCATGTGACTAGAGGGAACCAGGGTCTTTGCTGTAGCGCCGTGCGGAAATAAAGACCCTGGCTTGCGAGGTTGTATGCGCTTTAGAAACTACTGCAAGTTTTCTTGCACTTCTAGTTCCTTGTATCCCAGGGCTCATGAAGGTCGCGCGTGCCCGAGAAGCCCTGCAACGAGAATAGGCCATCTTGAATTTCCTTCTCGTTCTCCATCTCTGATACGCACAACACGCCCCCGTACACGACCGCAAATTGCACAAAAAATGATCACGTCGCTGAGTATTCATTGCACATTGAGACAGTGTGGGCTCAGTCAAGAATTTTCCAGCCTTTTTTCCGATTTTTTTTTTGCTTTATTTCGACTTAATTGTGGCGAAATAAGTTTAAATAGTTCTTACTTATGCTTAAGTCACCTAATATTTTTCTTATGCCGTTAAAGACTATGTAAAGTCCGTAATCTAAACAAACGCTTTGTTTACATTTTGAACTCAGTGCTTCAGTTGTAAAATATGATTAGATATATATTATACTAAATTTTTAACAATCTTCTGGTTCGCTATGCTTGTAAATGAATACAGACTAAGGATTCAATTCAAGAAATTTTGGAAGGTGCGAAATATTGATAACATTCCGATGGTCGGGTCCCGACCATTGGAATGTAGGCCTGCGCAGAACGGACTTTACATGGTCTTTAACCTTCTTTAAATCTCGAAATTCTAGAGATAAATAAAAAACTTTTCCGACTAAATTTAGTTAAGATTGTGGCCGCAATTTCCGATTTTTAGGTTTATGACATTTTTTATAGTGGCGCTGAGAAAGGTTACCTTGTGCTTCTCTTGTATTTCCATTTCTAGAAAAGTCGTTGAAGGATTACATGGAAACACTTCCAGGTTCAGTTCTTCCCTTGAACGAAGCCTTTACCTACTTTCGGCAAATTGTAGAAGCCATGGTTCATATCCATCACCTGCACATTACCCACAATGACATCAAAGCTGAGAATGTGCTCATGTTTCCTGGTACAGACGAGACGTCATACCTTACACCACATTTATGCGATTTTGAATATGCGACAAGAGAGAGTTGTCCTTCTAAGCGTCGTGGCGGGACGAAATTTTTTATGCCGCCTGAGGTATGTAAATCATAATACAATTACAGTCAAACCTGTATTAAGCTGCCACCCTCAGGGAATGATATGCTGGTCGCTTAAATGCAGGCGGTCCTTAATGCTTCTTTGCGCCCACGGTCTTTTAGACCACGGAGCGTATTGCATTCGAAAATTCGTTCAGCGAGTGTATGTGCGTTTACTAACCTCTAAAGCATGAGTAGCGCCTTTAAAACCGACAAGCATACCTAGATTAGAATCGATCTCAGCAAAACTCTTAGCCCAGCTCGTGAACTCAGTTAAAGGGCTACTTAGAAGGCAAGTTAAGATAGTTTAGTTACCTGTTTCTGGCTTGATAGCATTACTGCCCTTTACTGGATAAGGAATAGAGGGGACTGAAAGCAATTTGTCCATCACCGAGTTAATGAAATTTTGAAACTCAAGAACAAAGAAGATTGGGGGCACTGTCCAGGGGTAGAAAACCCTGGAAATATGGGTTCAAGGCGGATAATAGCTTCAAAATTAATTTGAAAGTTGGTAAACTTTGGTGGGTGGGGCCAGATTGGCTCTCTAAGTCCAAAGAAGAGTGGCCCAAATTTAAGTGTAATATGAAGAGACCGGAAGTGGTAGAGGAAGAAAGATCGCTAGTAGCAATGTTAGTACAGGTTAACAAGCAAGGTCATGCAACCATTGCGATTGACTTAAACAAATACAGTACATCACAACAGCTTTTTAGAGGAACAACTTTGGGTATTTAGGTACAAGGTTAATTATCAAGCTAGAAACAGTGTCAATTCTGTAACTACAAGAATTACCGAAAATATGGGTTTGGTGCTTGCAACGTGAGCATTTTAATGAACTGTGTCTATTTTAAACATTTTTTATTGTGTTACAGCCCGACGATGGGCCCCATAGAGATGTCTATGCGCTGGGAATATTTTTCTTGGAACTTACTATTGCCAAAACATCATATTGTATTATGCATCAACGGTGCAGATGGCCTGGGCGTGAGGTATGTTTTAATTATATGATAAATTATATTTTATATAATATATATATATATATATATATATATATATATATATATATATATATATATATATATATATATATATATATATATATATATATATATATATACCACAAACGGACACACACCAATATCTGGATTATCATTCATGTCATCCTGGACATACAAAATCAAACATTCCCTACACACTGGCAAGACGGATCTGTGCAATTGTAACAAATCAAGATTTAAAGAAGAAGCGTCTTGATGAACTAGAATATTTCCTCCAAAAGCAGAACTATCCGAAATTGCTTATAAAAAACGGAATACAGAAGGCTTCATCAAAAAACATTGACGAATTGAGGGCACCAAAACATAAAACTGATGACAATGTCTTGCCTTTAGTAATAACTCATAATCCCAACAATCCTCAAGTAATTGGAAAAATAAGGGAGAATTTTAAATTTCTAAACAATTCCGAGAAAATGAAACGAGTATTAGACAGAACAAAACTCATTGTAAGCAAACGCCAACCGAAGAACTTGAAGCGATACTTGACAAAAGCACAATTCAATTCAGAGGACAGAGAACACTGTGTAACAAAATGCGAGGAAAAGCGATGTGGAACATGCGATGTTTTAATCACAGGAAAGTCTGTTACATTAAAGAGCGAAAAAACCTGGAAAGTCAATTCAACGATGAACTGCAAAGCAAGATATGTCATTTACGTGATCATTTGCTCAAAATGCGACAGCTTCTACGTCGGCCAGACAGAAAACTTACGAAAAAGAGTGACATTGCACAAGGAACAAATTCGACACGAAGAGTATAGACATCTAAAAGTAAGCGAACACTTAAATATGTGTAACAACGGAATTTCCAAAATAATGCCTATATATCAATGCATTAACACGGACAGACTTTTTAGGGAGATGAAAGAAAAAGAACTTATCAATATACAGAATCCGGATCAGAACGCTAATTAAAAAACCATTAAGTTTATGCTTACATTTAGATCAATAGAATGTTTTTAACGGGTGACTTCACACCATGTAAATATATGCATTCCTAACATAGTTATTATAATATGATATCATAGAACGTAGATAATACATAAACTAAATTCCACTCATTGTAAATATGCACCTGAGGAGCTAACATTAAAGCGAAAACGTTTGTGCAAAATTTGAGTGGCTTTTATTTTATTTTACGTTATAAATGTCTCTTTTGGTTGCACATTGAAACCTTTTCTATATACAACACTTGTATCTTGTTATCAGCAACATTTCACTATATATATATATATATATATATATATATATATATATATATATATATATATATATATATTGCTCTATGGCCTTTGTGTCATATTGAGCACTCTACAGAATGAGCCATTGCTGCTTACGCATTGTGCGCATGCTCACTGCTTGCAGTTTGAGCACTCTGGCAATGGTTTGATGTCCCACATATATATATATATATATATATATATATATATATATATATATATATATATATATATATATATATATATATATATATATATATATATATATATATATATATATATATATATATATATATATATATATATACGAGTAGGTTTGTGTATACGAAACGCAAAGAGTGCTCAATATCATAAAGATGAGAGCAAATGTAGAATTTCGCTTACCTCAAAATTCCGCAACAGTCTGTTTCATCAGTAAAGAATCATCAGGCGGTATATGAAACAGACTGTTGCGGAATTTTGAGGTAAGCGAAATTATATATATATATATATATATATATATATATATATATATATATATATATATATATATATATATATATATATATATATATACACTGCATCCAGAAACGTTTGACCTTCGAATATATATATATATATATGTCGGCCATTTTGAATTTTCTTGGGTTAATTATACGCGAACGTATACATCAAATGTCGCTCGCAACGTATTGTATATTGCAATATTATTCCAACAGCTCAAGTGAATAAAAGAATCATTGATTGATGTCTTTGCACATAATCATAATGGCTAGTAGGAAATGAACATTTGGAAATGAACATAATGGCTAGTAGGAAATGAACGTTTCTGCTTCGCCAGGTCACGAATGCTGCGCGTGCTGAGTTTCAGGGGATGAAATATCGAATGACTATCGATTCCGTTAAAATTTCCGTTGGCAAAATATAATAATTCTGGACGTAGGTTACAGCTATAAAATAAGCACAAGTGAATACGAAAGAATAAACAAAGAAATTCATCGAGGCATGCTAATAAGCGTCTAAATCTCTAAGGATGCAAAAGAATAAATTACGACATGCCAAAAAGATCAGGTTCCAAATTGTGACAAGAGTTAATTAGCTATGACAATCCTCAAATGTTCATTAGATAGCTACTACAAATATGTGTAAGAACGTCAAGCAATGATCCTTTACTTATTTGAGTTGTTGGAATATTGCAATATACAGTACGTTGCGAGCGACATTTGATGTATGCGTTCGCGTATAATTAACCCAAGAAAATTCAAAATGGCCGACATATATATATATATTCGAAGGTCAAACTTTTCTGGATCCAGTGTATATATATATATATATACATATTGGCAGCATAAACACATGTAACTGACACAGGGATATTAAAAAGCATGCTCTGACCTTATTTTATTTTACATTTTCTAATTGCATCTGATAGGAAAGAAAATACAATGTCGATTTCTGATAAGTTTGATGTTATTGATACGCTGTCGCTGGTTACCAGTGGCAATGATTCATTGTCTGAGTTGAGTTGAGTTGAGTTCAGATGAGGATGATGTTGATGAGACGCACCAACCAGAAGAGCGAGGATGTGCCTAAGGGGATGAGAGCAGTGGTGAAGAAGAGGAGAGTGATGACAGCAATGAGGAGGGTGACGCCTGTGAAGAGCAACGGCATGTGTTTCGTTGGAGGAAAGCAGACATTCCCTTTAAAAACGTGAACTTTGGAAGGGAAAAGAAAGATCGAGTAGAAGAGTTCTCAGCATTGGAGTATTTCAAACTATTTTGGACAGACGAACTTACAAACTTAGTTGTTGAGCAAACAAATAACTAAAAAATTCGAACAAGAACGCGACTGAGGAAGGCGAGAACCTAAACAACATATGGGAGAAATTTGAGCTTAAGCTGAATGATTGGGTTACAACAACTCTACCTACGATTGTATCAGAAGTCATCAAGTCTATAGCAGGGGAAGCTGTTAAAAAGCATATTGACGAATATGTGTCATCAACAGAATTCAAAAAATCCCTCGGTGAAAGCATCGATTTTGACTCGCAGCAACTACGTGATGAAATCAAATCCATAAATACTGAATTAAAGACGGGATTGATGGAGCTCAAAAACGAAGTGAACATGCTAAAAAATGAAAACGATAATTTGGAACAGTACACAAGAAGGTGTAATATCAGAATTTATGGGATACCTGAAGCCCCAACTGAGTCAACCGATGACATTGTCATATCTTTTCTCCAAAAGGAATTGGGTGTCACTATTTCAGAAGTTGACATAAGTAGATCACACCGAGTTGGAAAAAAGACCAACATAGCACGTCCTATCATCATTCGATTTACCAAGCAAAGTTATGATATTGAGGAAACGACACTTACTAAAACGGAATGGTCGGTCTCTATACAGGATTCAAGAAGACCTTACACAGACAAGAAGACAACTTTTGAAATATTTACATGATAACTGCAACGACAAAGTTGAAAAAGTATGGACAATTGATGGAATAATTCACTTCCGGCCAAAAACAAACACCTCTGTAATCTTAAAGTCTACAACCCTATCAAGCTGTATTAATCAATTAGATAAGTATTGACTTTTTTTTCCTACCTTATGACATATAATCTCTTACAGACTTCTATGATCTGTATATTGCATGTTAATATAATAACATGGATTGTAGTCGACTACACATTGATTTCTGGTGATGTGAAGTTGTCTATTGGTCTCATAGCAAACCATCATACCTAATTTGTGTTATTAAATTTATGTATTTGAACTTATATATTTAAGCTTTAGAGTGGTGCACAAGTAGTATATATATATATATATATATTTTACTTTTCTTTATTCTGTTATGTCCCCCTGTTCTGTCTGTAAATGTAGGATTCACAGTTACTCTCGAGCCATTCTTTGTGACATATGTGGCCACTGGATACATCTTAAATGCACAAATTTTAGCCCTAATGATTATAAAACTATTTCAAATAATAATAACCCATGGTATTGTGCATCTTGCTTAACTGAGATATTTCCATTTAATCATTACCATGACAATGATGATTTTCTTTATGCAATTGATTATTCCCTCCAATCACGTCTCGATCTCAATAACCTTAATAATATGAGCTTCAATCCTTTTATCAAT